AATAATCATTATAATTTTATTTGAGCAGCGATCATTATGATTGATTTCTGAGTTAAAACAAAATGCATTTGCCATACTTTCGAGCTCTTATTATTTATCTAGAACTTTTATATCAGCCTTTCTGCAGCGAACAAAAACGAAAGTAGCCCGTCACCGCAGCAGAAACATCCAAGTCTTTAATGCGTGCGTTTCAGAATTTCGATTGTCGGATGCTCTCTTCAAGTTGATATTAAAAATTTTGTAATCAGTTACATACAGAAAGACCAGTTCTTCATGACCAGCGTAGTCAATAAGTTTTTTGCGCTTAAATTTTAACAATATAGCATAAAATATACGCTGGTGACCCGGAATTGGAGACGACCCGGAATTGGCGACTTGTGTGAAACGACTGTGAATAAAAATTGCATATGTGGATTTTCAGGTGAACATGTGAAAGCCCTGTCAGGTGTTGTGTCTTCGAGGGCGAAAACGATTTAACGAAGGGAGGGATGTAATACCACTAATGGTTTTGGCCGTGGAAATTGGCCTGTGTAACTTAGTCGGTAGCTAGAGCTCCTAACTAATGAAACGGGGTCCAGGTCTGAGGATTTGATTGTGGTCCAGCCACACATTTTCTCCCATTCTCATACAAGATACAGAGATTGATGTGTCTTCAGTTCAGGCATAATCGAAACAGAATACATGTACGTTTAATTTTAAGGCTTTTTCATTGACGTACCTGTAACTACAACGGTCCTCTTCTCATTCCCCATGTTTGATGAACGTAGAACCCCGCTAATATTAAATATTATTCCAATATGAAGTCAAAATACTACATGACGGAGGGCCGAAACTGTCATGTCAAACACCCACATGATTACACAAAAAGAAAGTGAAAGTACAGAGATTGAGGAGTTCCGATACAAAGAGTGAGAGATCGTTACACCCCCCTTCCCAAAAGGTGTGAATGGACATTTTAGCAGAAGATTTCTAAACATTTTAGTGCGGGGAGGGAAGGGGGCGAAGGGTTGTCAATATTCAAAGGACAATTTAGTGGATTATGTCAAAAGAATGAACAAAATGTTAATTAACATTAATTAATGGAATAATTACAAAAAAGTTGTGCTAGGATTAAAATATATCATAATAGTAAATGAAGAGGATAAACCATTATTAAATCACAAATGCAAATATTGTAGAATAGATATTGAATATAATAGATTTCACAGCAAAAGAAACTATAATATAAATTTAAACTATAAGGCACAAAGTGAATTTACAAGCTAGATTCTTAGAGAAACTTTAAAAACAAAAATAAATTCAGGAGACGAGATATAGAGAAAAAGGAAAAAAAACAACTCAAAACAATTTCTTAAACATTTTAGCACTTGAACGAAAACCTTCAGTTATTCAATTTCAGCAATCTGCATTTTGTTCTTCTTTTATACCCAGGTAGTATTGACAAACATTCAGAAATACTTTTTGTTAAGCTACAAATAATTTTAGACACCATACATAGTAAGATTTGTATGTAGAATTGGGCAAAATGAATTGTATTTGTTCGTAACATTAATTTCATAAGTCGTTTTTAAGACAAGTCTTCATCCGGTGGCATGATACACCACACAGTCCGGCTTTTGAAATTTCAAACATAAATATATTTATAAGAAAGCATAAGCAAAAAGATAACACATGTTAAAGTCTACATCGACTTATATAATATTGTAACATTTTACACGTCATCAACTTTTCACTGGGTGTACAACCTGCTTTTCATCGTGAATTAAAATTTAACCAACTTGATTCAATGCCATATTTCTTTCACTCAATTGACAACAAATCGCGTCCAGATCAAAGCCAACTTTGAAAAAAATCCTGACTTTAGGAACGATTCAAGTACATTGCTGATCACGACGGATAGTATTAAGGTCACATTTGAAAGATCAAGGTCATGAGGGTCATCTAGGAAATAACTTTATAATATCCAATCTCCATAAACCTTAATAGTCATAAAGTATCAGAATTAATTTGAGTAATTCAAAATCACGTCTCTTACTTGTCCATAATAAATCATTATATGTTAAAAACCTTCTAAAAAAAGCTTTTAATAAATGACATTTTAAAATTTGTAAAGTTTCGCCTATAAGCCACATACACTTGTGCAGATATATGTAAAAAGCCTACTCAACTCACACAATGAACATGAAGCATATAACACAACTGCAATAGTCTGCTGTTTTTACAAATTCATGCTAGTATTTTGATGTCAAACTTTTTCTTATGTTGTTTGCCTATTTTGTTTTGATGTGCCATTTTTTTCATTGGACTTGTAGTACTGATATGTTACAGTTATATTCATACGTCATTTTAATAAATGCTGTGTTTTATTTGAAAATAGCAAAAACAACGATTCTATAAGCTAATGTTTCGCAACATCTCATTTTATGTAAATTGAGATCACACAGAACAGCATATAACACAATGCAATACTCTGCTGCAAATTCTTCGATTTTTTTAGACTTGTAGTACTGATATGTTACAGTATTTACCCTTGACCTAAGTCCCATGTAGATTACTAGACAGAATGTCCCATGTACATTAGCATTAGACGATAAAGTCAAAGAATTCAAAACAATGCATCACATAATTAACAAGCGTTTTGGAAACACTGATGCCCCCGTATGGCAGCTTATGGTGAGATTTGAAGTTTCTCAAATGCAAGTCAAACTCCAAGGTCAAAAGGTCAAAATTGTTGGTATCCAGAGAAAGGTCTTGTCATAACTCATAATGAACAAACCTGTGAAATGACATATGAAAGCTCAAGTACGAACTGTTCGAAAGCTACCAAAGTTAAAGTTTTTACAAGTTGGCCAATTTCTAAGGTCAAGGTCAAAAATATTTATACCCATTCATTGAAAAGTCTTCTCACAATATAAACATGTGAAGTATGAAACCACTAGCACCAACTATTCAAAAGTTCTCGTCATGGTAAAAGTTAGGTAATACATGATTTTGTAAAAGTGGGCCAAACTCCAAGATCAGGGTGATGATACCCACTACCCACAGAAAGGCATTGTCACAAGGAATACAAATGTGAAAGCCATAGCCCTACCCACTCAAATGTTGGGTGGCTGTGGCCATTCTAGACTATATTAATATTTAGAAGAAGAGCTCCATATTTTTTTTTGCCAAATGATAGTTGACAGCTTAGGATATCATATCTAAAAAATTAGATTATACCTAATTGTTAATTTGTTGACCCCCAGCCTTCTTAAAAGTAACCTTGATTTTAGGACGATTTCCACCTTAGTTTGGACTTTCTGTAAGGCGGGGCATTCTCGGCACTATGTTATTAGCGTCTGTCAAGTGGCGAATACATTCTCTTTGGTTAAGAGATTAATAACATCAGGAACTTTAAATTGTTGTTGACAACGATGAGACGACTTAAGCTCCACCTCTTTACCGGAGGTGACAATGTCATTGGTTATTCGATACACTAATAGGCATTTGCCCGAATTTCTATCCCATGTATATTTCAACAGTGAAGGAAATCAGAAGCTAATTATGTAACGTCGAGAATGCCACGCCTTACTGAAAGTCCAAACTAAGGTGAAGATCGCCTTAATGCAACATAGGCTAAGACAACCGTACTAGTTAGATGTGGTTGTTGTACCATGAACGAAGAAGGTGAACATATAACAGAGTACTTTGGTTACAGGACTCCCGAATGAACGTCATTTCCACATGGATAACACATGGATGAAAATGGAAAAGATCTCTGTAGGATGTGAGAGTAAAACGAGATGCAAATGTAGGCAGTGATCACTACCTTGTAACTTCAGATTTTAAACTTAATACGTTCATTATTTCTGTATCACAACAGGGAAGAAATAAGGTCGCGTTCTTTGACTTTTGGGGATTTTTTGAAAAGGATGTTCCTCCACTTTTTCTCATTTTATTTTTTCGTTCAATTTGAATTTTATAAATTGCAGCAGGTTTGCAACCCCCAAAATGTACATCTACCAGTGACGTCATAATTACTAAAACGCAACAATAAGTGTGACGTCATAATTATCACTACAACAACAATTGGAAAGAGCGTGCAAAACACGGAGGTAAATTTTTATACTCAGCTCATTTACATTTCTTTTGATAACACAGACTGATTCTGAGTTTAAATACATTTCTAAAGTGTAACAATTTTGGCACAATGTCCTTTATTTTTCTAGAATGAAAACTATGGACTACAACGAAGTTCTAGATTTCGGGGATGGCCCTGTCACAGACGTGGTAAGCTCAGTTCCATGTATAGATGCCCCATAGGCACAATTACCTTAATTGTCAAATAATAATAAATCTCTCAAACTAGTAGCAGATGTTTTTATATAATAACATTTATTTCCGTATCATTTTATTTCCAATGAAAATGCAAAAATTTGTCTTAGATTAAAAAAATCTACCCAACACATTCTTTGAAATGTCAATCTTTTTTGCATTAATTTATTACTTCAATGCTTTTTTCAGGATACAAAACTTGAGATATTAAAATTCAGCTACAATTGGGCAGACGCAGTTGAGGAGGAGGAAAGACGTATGGAGGTACAATATTAATATAAAATACCGATTTATACTTGAACTTAAGCTTATTTGTATCTTTAAAAATATCTTTTTGAGAAACAGGTTTAAAATGCATATTTTTATTATATATACATATTTTTCAAATAGCAATTTTTTGTATTGTATTGTTTATTACCGAGAACCATACAGTTCATAGGTTTAAACAAAATATAGGTTTGTAACAAAACTACAGAAAAATATCATTTAACAACATTCGAAATTTTCGATACTTAGTTGATTTTTCTTTGAAAAAAATTATGTCAGCTGATATTCACTACGGACTGATTCGTGATTTATTGCTATTCAAACGTACTTTTATATATATATTGTAATAGGAAGAACAAAAGCAGCAGAAAGAAATGAAAAAGAAGATGGAAAAAGAAATTTCAGGGGAAGAGAAGAAAGATTGCAACAAGAACCACAAAAGGTATCATAAAATAAGTGACCCAGCGGGCACAATTGATAAATTTGCTATTTTTTGTAGAGATGCTACAATACATTTTCATCATTTCTGTATTATATGCTGACTTTACAGCTTGGGTGTCACAACAGGGAAGGAATAAGGGTCGTATTCTTCAACTTTTCGGGATTTTTTTAATTTACGAAAAAAGGGGAGGGGGTTACGAGTTTATCCACAAGTGACGTCATAGTCTCTAAAACGCAACAATTAGCATGACGTAATAATCATCACTATAACAAAAATCAGAAAGAGGATACAAAACACGGAGGTAAAGTCACGAAGATATGCTTAGTGTAGATAGCTTGTGATAGGACAGCATTCCATATTTCTAGTAATTCTGACATAATTTCCTTTTTTGTAGAATGAATACCATGGACTACAATGAAATTCTAGATTTCGGGGAGAACCCTGTCACAGATGTGGTAAGCTCAGTTTATATGACACAAGTGTGCATAGGAAAAACGGTGGTTAAGATTTATACTTACAATATTCATTGATATTCTTTTTTGAGAAAGTATTACTTATATATTCATGTAGAGAAAGATGCTGAATAAGCACATACACACTTATCTAAATCACCAAATACCAATTTATTGAAATCTATTATGTAAGCTATGCATATGCACAAGTATATAAGTATATAAGTAGAATAATGTTAATTTACCATTTTATCAAAAGGCTTGAATTACCGGTACTAGTCTTAGTACTAGTCTGACAACCCACTAAAATTGTGGAATGCTCTGTGCATCCATGACTCTGTTTCACTATAAATGTGTTGCTTTATTTTTCAGGACACCAAACTTGATATATTAAAATTCAGCTACAACTGGTCAGACGCGGTGGAAGAGGAGGAAAGACATATGGAGGTACAGATATAAATTACTGAACCTTATTTACTTGCATTACAGCAAATGAAAACCATACTGTAATAAAAGTTTTATGATGTACAATGTTATTCTTTTTCAAGTAACATTTTTTTGGGGCAAATATACAGTATAGTTATCAATTATAAGGTAATTTTGAAAGATTTTATATTAATAAAAGTGATGCTAAACAATAAACATGTATACTCCAAAGAAGCATTTGTTTTACAACTTAGTTACTGAATAATTATCAATTAACCACATTTTGATAGATTTTCTTTAATAAAATAAAAAATACAGCTGTATTCACTATGTACTAATTCATGGTGATGTTTATTGCTTACCAAATGTACATTTATATAACAGGAGGAACAAAAGCAGCAAAAAGAAACGGAGAAAAAGCTGGAAAAGGATATCGCAGGGGAGGAGAAGAAAGATTGCAACACAAATCACAAAAGGTACTGTACAAACACTGATCATCATTAAAAAATTGCTTTTATTTTTTGTTAAGATGCAATATGTTCATAATTTCTGTATTATCTGCTGAGTTTGCAGCTTGGGTGTCACAACAGGGAAGGAATAAGGGTCATATTGCTTAAAGCTTTAGGATTTTTAATTAACAAAAATGTAAAATCTTTGATTTTGAAGAGAATGTCCCCCACTTTCGTATTATACTTTTTTCATTCACTTTGATATTGCATGACTGCTAGGGATTGTATATACCCCTCCTATTCCAATCAGATAGTTAGCATAGAGAATGCATGTCTCTACCTGTGATGTTATGATTACCAAAATGCACCAATTAACATGACGTTAGAATCATTTCTATAACAAAATAAAGATAGGTAGTTGAAGGTACAAAACACAAGAGTTACAAGTCATGAAATTATGTCTATTCTGATCATTTAGATTACTTGTAATAGGATATGATTCAAGTATAGGTACATTTCTAGTAATTCTGATGTTATATCTTTTTTGTAGAATAACTACCATGGACTACGATGAAGTTCTAGATTTCGGGGAGAACCCTGTCACAGATGTGGTAAGCTCAGTTATATGTAAAGATGTAGATGCTTAACAGGCACCAAGACACCCTACTCCAAACCATTAAATGATACAGAGCTACTATATTAGCCACATCTATAAATATTATGTAAATTAGCAGAATAATTTTTTGTTTACCATTTTCAAAGATGGGGAGCAGCCTCACTAATATTTGTTTCCTAACTAAAAGCTTAATTTGGTCTTTAGATTCTGATAAACTCTCTTTTCTGAAATGCTCTGTGCATCCATGACTCTGTTTCACAATTAATGTGTATTTTTTCAGGATACAAAACTTGAGATATTAAAATTCAGCTACAACTGGTCAGACGTAGTTGAAGAGGAGGAAAGACGTATGGAGGTACAGATATAAATTAAAAATATATATATATATAGTCAAACTTCATCATTTCCAACTTGAAGGGACCAAGAAAAAACTTCGAGTTATGCAAGGATTTGATATATTGAGGGTAAAATACTTAAAGAATAAGTGGTTGGGACTTCAAAATCACTTCGACATATCCATGGTATTTGAGATATCGATGTTCGAGATACTGAAGGTCAACTGTTTATGATGAATCTAATTTACTTGCATGTCAGTAAATAAGAAAGGACTCCCATCTTTTGTAAAAAATACTTTTATTAAATATTCTTTAGAAAAGCTACAGTATAGTTTTCATTTATAACTACATTTTGAAAGATTTTCCTCCCCAAAAAAGAGATGTAACACTCTTCAAACTGATGCAAGACAATATTTCACTCACATCTTTTAATAGAAAGGACAAAAGCAGCAGAATGGGATGAAGAACTTAGAAAAAGAAATTGGAGGGGAGGAGAAGAGAAATTGCTACAAAAATCACAACAGGTATGGTAAAATAACTGTCCCAAACACATCTTAAAAGGTTTATGTATCAATGTCAGGTTGTAATAACACAATTTATAAAATATGTCATATAAATTTCAGAAAACAACCAGAAAAAATAAACAGAAAACAACACAGAGCAAGGAAGCATGCAAAGGTCCATATCATCAAACAACAGAAACTGCGACTGGAGGTAAAAAAGCAATCTTTCAATGAATTATAATTAATTGAATATAAGTTTTGTTTGCTTCAGTTAAAAGTTTCTTAATTTTCATTTAAGTTTCATTTTAATAATGTATTAGAATAAATGTGTATTAATTAATTTTAAAAAATGGAAAATATGAAAAAAGCTTAACGTTATTATGATCCTTACAAAATTTACATTTTATACTGGTAATTATGGTTGTTCACTTTTCTTTAGACTGCTGAATCCACCAAACAAATGATTGAAAGAGAGAACAGAAAAGCATCTGGAGATGAATTAACCCCAATTGCAGAAACCTCCAAACAAGTAACAGTGTGTGAGAGTGGGGAGAAGAAAACTGGAGATTTGTCAGCAGAAAATTTTACTATTTGTGATGAGAATGTGTCTAGAAAAAAGTCACCAGCATGTAATGTAGATATGTCACAAAAGAAACCAAATAATTGTTGTGAAATGACTGGGCTGAATTCAATTCCATGTGATAAGGAATTTTTTGAAGAAAAAGCAACTTTATATGACAAAGTTTTGTCAGAGAAGATATCACCAGCAAATAATGAAGAGATGTCGGGAGAAAAGAAAATTGCTCATAAAAAGAGGTCAGAAGAGAATACAACTGTACGAGAAAAGATATCAGGAGAGAAAATAACACCACATGAAGGGATGTCAGAAGAGAAGAAAATTACTCATGTAGAGATGTCAGAAGAGAAGAAAACTGCTCATGTACAGATGACAGAAGAGAAGAAAACTGCTCTTGTAGAGATGTCAGAAGAGAAGGAAACTGCTCATGTTGAGATGTCAGAAGAGAAGAAAACTGCTCATGAAGAGATGTCAGAAGAGAAGGAAACTGCTCATGTTGAGATGTCAGAAGAGAAGAAAACTGCTCATGTAGAGATGTCAGAAGAGAAGGAAACTGCTCATGTAGAGATGTCAGAAGAGAAGAAAACTGCTCATGAAGAGATGTCAGAAGAGATGGAAACTGCTCATGTTGAGATGTCAGAAGACAAGAAAACTGCTCATGTAGAGATGACAGAAGAGAAGGAAACTGCCCATGAAGAGATGTCAAAAGAGAAGGAAACTGCTCATGAAGAGATGTCAGAAGAGAAGAAAACTGCTCATGAAGAGATGTCAGAAGAGAAGGAAACTGCTCATGTAGAGATGTCAGAAGAGAAGATAACTGCTCATGTAGAGATGTCAGAAGAGAAGGAAACTGTTCATGTAGAGATGTCAGAAGAGAAGAAAACTGCTCATGAAGAGATGTCAGAAGAGAAGGAAACTGCTGGTGTAGAGATGTCAGAAGAGAAGGAAACTGCTCATGTAGAGATGTCAGAAGAGAAGATAACTGCTCATGTAGAGATGTCATGTAGAGATGTCAGAAGAGAAGAAAACTGCTCATGAAGAGATGTCAGAAGAGAAGGAAACTGCTGGTGTAGAAATGTCAGAAGAGAAGGAAACTGCTATTATTGAAATGTCAGAAGAGAAGGAAACTGTTCATGTAGAGATGTCAGAAGAGAAGAAAACTGCTCATGTAGAGATGTCAGAAGAGAAGGAAACTGCTGGTGTAGAGATGTCAGAAGAGAAGAAAACTGCTCATGATGAGATGTCAGAAGAGAAGGAAACTGCTGGTGTAGAGATGTCAGAAGAGAAGGAAACTGCTATTATTGAAATGTCAGGAGAGAAGAAAACTGCTCATGAAGAGATACCAGAAGAGAAGAAAACTGCTAATGTAGAGATGTCAGAAGAGAAGAAAACTACTCATGTAGAGATGTCAGAAGAGAAAAAAACTGCTGGTGTAGAGATGTCAGAAGAGAAGATAACTGCTCATGTAGAGATGTCAGAAGAGAAGGAAACTTCTATTCATGAAATGTCTGGAGAGAAGGAAACTGCTCATGTAGAGATGTCAGAAGAGAAGGAAACTGCTGGTGTAGAGATGTCAGAAGAGAAGGAAAGAGAAGGAAACTTCTATTCATGAAATGTCTGGAGAGAAGAAAACTGCTTATGTAGAGATGACAGAAAAGAAGAAAACTGCTCATGTAGAGAGGTCAGAAGAGAAGAAAACTGCCCATGATGAGATGTCAGAAGAGAAAAAAACTGCTCATGAAGAGATACCAGAGGAGAAGAAAACTGCTAGTGATGAGATGTCAGAAGAGAAGGAAACTGCTCATGATGAGATGTCAGAAGAGAAGAAAACTACTCATGAAGAGATACCAGAAGAGAAAACAACCGCGTGTGAAGAGAATTCAAGAGACAAAACAATACCACATGAGGAGATATCAGAGACAAAGTCACCAGTGTCTGTTAATGAGTCATTGGAAGAGACACCAGTAAGTGATGAATATTTGTCAAAATTCAAGTCAACGGCACGTGATAAAATGTTAGGGGTGATGAACTCAACTTCTTGTGATCAGCAATTTTTCAAAGAAAGCGCAAATATATATGATGAACAATTGTCAGAGATGTCACTACCGTGTAAAGAGGAGGGAGAGAAAGAAACTGCATATATTGAAGAATTATTGGCACAGAAGGCAGCTTCACATGATGAAAAATTGTTAGAAGAATTGTCACCTGCATATGAAAAAGATTTAACAGCAAAACCATCAAGAGATTGTGATGAAGATTTGTCAGCATTGATATCACCAGCATGTAATGTAAATTTGACAGGAGAAAGACTCTATGTGTGTGATGAAGCAGTTCTTGTACCAGTCAACCAAAAGCAAGAAGTCTCTAAGGATCAGGAGAAAACATTAAAGGTACATTTAATTTAAAACCCTAAATAATTTTTAATACTTTTAATATTAAGTGTTCAAAAATTCACATACAATTAATGTTGTCCAATTTATACCTTTTGAACAATAAGAAGGCTACTATAAAAGTTCTCTTTACTGTATATTTTCAGCCTTTGTTTGATGATGATGAGGAGGAGGAGGATGATGGTTGGTTTGGTCCAAGAACACTTTTCTTTTTCCATATAGATTATTTCAAGGTATAGTTCAATTACCTTAAAAATCTTCTTAATATGTTTTCTTATTATAGATACATACACAAAATAAAGCAAGAATTATAATTTCTATGATTAAGATGTACATATGTATATGAAAGGTCTCAACTATTTTTTTTATTTGTTGTAGGCTGCTGGAAAAGATGTCTGCTAAAAAAGAGAAAAAATTGCTTTTACAAGATATTCAAAATTTTGTTCCTAAAGAGAGAATAAATGTTTTCTTTTTAAAGTCAGTCTTTGTACTTTAATTGTGCAGCTGAAGTTATTTAGTAGCATACGCAGAGGTCAAAATTCAGATTTATACTTCTTCTTTTTAAATTATGTACACACTGTACATAAGCAGAATATGCTAGTGCATGTAATATGTTAACAATCATGACAGATGATAAAATGCAAAGAGAACATTCATGAGCCTTTGCTGAAAAGCCTATGAAGATGATTTTGAATAAGCATTGGCTCTTGTGACCATGAATCAGTCCTGAATTATAAATAAATAGTCACCTGCATTCAGAATTAAAGAGATTGCACTTGTAAAGATATTCTAAAATGGAATGAACCATATGGAAATAACAAAGAGTATTCAAGATCAAAAGCCCAAAAAACAATACAATATAGGAGCAGAGCAAACACGAACCTCCAAAACATCGGAAATGGGATCAGGTGCCATGGAGGAGTGAGCATCCCCTGCCGACCGGTCACACCCACCGTGCGTTCCTTGTCATGATCGGGAAATAACGGAAAATCCATCGTCAATTCAGTGTAATAATGGATTAACAAATACTATGAGAAATATCAGTCAGCATTTGACTCAATAATAAATTGTTTTTGCTGACAATGTCATTGTATCGACCATAGAACTTTCGAAATGATGACTTTAAACGAGACTGCTGATATTCTTGTTACATCAAGTTGCTTGTCAATAATGTATCTATTAAAGCTTAAAATTTAATAAGTTGTTCATAAGCAGAGCATGCTCTAGCGTATAGAATCATCTGACAGATATATATAATTATATATAAACTCCGTATGCAGGTGATGAAAGTAGATTGCTGCATTAGTAAGGGAAGTTGGCGATAGAAAAGTTAAAGTCATCACGTATATCATAGAGCTTTGTTGTTAGATTACCATTAACGTCTTTTAAAGTAAAATAAACAAATATGAAACAGACTTCTCAGACTCTGTGGTATCTTTTGTCTCAAGCTCAAAAGGATATATCGTATCGAATTGACAATACGTCGTCGATATATCTAAATGTCGAGTTGAAGGCCACAGCAAGTGTTTTGAAAAAATTGGTTGATGGTCCTCTCTCAGATCGACTGACTGAACTCAACCCAAAAACAAAAGTTTAAATGTATAAGCTTCTGGCCTTGCTCTTCGTCTGACTTTCAACCATTAGATTTTAGGCCGAATGTAGCGTAGTATTTTTTTCCCCTGCAATATAGGATCTCAGACAATTAAAGGGCTTGGGTTAATTCAGTTAGAGTAGAATTAGTTTGAATATAGTATAGATAAAATAAGTTAGAGCAAAAGAT